ACTCAATTCTAATTTAAAAAAAAACTGGATTTATTACTATTTTTGTAAGGGAGAACACAGTAATTCAACCACATCCCTTGCATTTCTTTAGGCTAAACTACTACAGTGCAGAACACTTTGAAATTTTTATTTGTATCTCTTTTAAGTTTTAAAAGAGATACAAACATTGCTTCTTTAGCTCCCGATGTGTTGCTTTTATATGTAGATGGAATCTGAAATTAACTTGTGATTTTTTTGTAAGGTGCTGATGTCAAGAACTTAGCAAGTGCTATAGGAAACAACACTCCCTCAGTAAATACCTCAGGGAAATCAGGAGAGGCAGAACATAGTTTATATTATTTTATCCACCAAATTTTTTTTTAAGTTTGTTTTAAAATAAGAGGATTAAGTATTGACTCCTTTGACTAAAAAGATTACTTGTCCTAATAAGATAAAATAAATCTCTATGAGTTGGCATGAGGGATGGATTAAAGTTGCCTTAAAATCTTTATACCAATTAATAATTATCCATAGGAAGAAAAAAATTATTGCTACCCAGCTGCCCAACTGCCTCTCAATATAAGAAATGTCATCATATATAAGCTTCAGGACATTTTAGGTTTTCTTCAATCTCCAAATAAGTTGAAGGTGATTAAATTATACATGAAAGAAATTTTCTGGAAATATTTGACTTTAAGTTGTTGGCGATAAGAGGTCAAGAAAGGAGGAAGAAAAATTTTTTAAAACATTATTTGAGAGAGAGAGCTCATGAGCAAGGGGAGGAGCAGAGGGAGAGGGACAAGCCGACTCTGTGTTGAACATGGAGCCCGATGTGGGGCTCAAACTCATAATCCTGAGATCAAGATCTGAGCTGAGATCCAGAGTCGGATGCATAACCAACTGAGCCACCCAGCTCACTTTTTTAAATGACAGCTCAAATGTCACTTTCCCCAGGAACCATTCCCTAATCTGACCCATTCCCTCTCCTCTGTTGTTCCCCAAACCACCGGTAACCCATCTGAGTTAGGCTTCCAAACAACCTGGATTTTTAAGATCTTTCTCTGAAAACTCACTCCACTGTATCGCTGCTGCTGCTGGACTCTCGCCCTCCTCAACTCAGCTCTAGGAGGACTGGAACTGTACTGAGTTCATCTCACCCCCAAGGCAGTCTCAGCACTCAATACGTATCTGGTAGGCAAAGGGACAGACACACAGAGGGGGAGGGGAGCAGAGCCACCTTCCTTGTCCCCTGCAGATGATTTGTGCTGCATCCTATACTGTTACTACCCCTTTCTAAGCACTACTGTGTTTGAGTTAAGGGGTGTCTTCTAAATGGGAAAAGTCACTGGGTTCCTTTAAGCAGTATATCCAGCATGCCCTGCTAGCAAATTGTTCATTCCGAGTAGAAGCCAAAGTCATGATAGCCTTCCAGGTCCTGCGAGATGGCCTCACCTCACTCTCATTGCCTTTCTGACAACATCTCTTGCAATCCTGACTTCACTCTCTCTGCGCCAACCACAGGGGCCTCCTCGCTGATTCTTGAGAACACCAGGCCTCTTCCTGCGTCAGGGTCCTTGCAGTTGTCTAGAAAGTCAGAAAGCTCTCCCTCCAAATAGCTGCACTTTCCAGTCTGTGCCCGAACATCACCTTCTTAGTGGCACCTTCTCTAACCACCCGTGCACCTCACACTTCCTATATGCCTGCATCTCTGCTTTGTTCTCCTCCAATAGCATTTAGTATCTGCCATGGGATACATTTTAATTGTTGGTCTCCCTCAAGGGATGTAAGTTCCCTGTAGGTAAGGACTTTTGTCAATTTCATTCCCTGCTGAATCCTCAGCATCTAGTTTCTGATACACAGCAAGTGCTCAGGGGTTAACGTGGCACAGCAAGTCATGGTTTTCAAGCTTTTAAAAAGTAGTGCAAACAACAACATAACAGACTGCCTAATTTAAAAATGGGGAAAGGACTCAAATATAGAATAAATAAATATTGAATAAAGAACACCGGATGTTTCTCTTAAGAAGCTATATCTGGCCAATAAGCACATAAAAAGATGCTCAACATCACTAATCATTAGGGAAATATAAAACCACAATGAGCTACCACAATGAGCTACCACTTCACACCCATTAGGATGGCTACTTAAAAAAAAAAACACATCAGAAATCAACAAGTGTTGGCAAGAATGCGGCAAAACTGGAACCCTGTGCATTGCTGGTCGTAATGGAAAATGATGCAGCTGCTGTAGAAAACAATATGGCAGCTCCTCAAAAAATTAAACAGAATTACCGTATCATCCAGCAATTCCACTTTGGCCATAAATCCTAAAGAACTGAAAGCAAGGACTGACAGCTATCTGTAGATCCATGTTTATACCAATATTATTCACAGATGGAAGCAAGTGTCCATTGATGGACAAACTGATAAACAAAATGGTGTGTACACATGGCAATGGAATATTATTCAGTCTTAACAAAGAATGAAATTTGACACATTCTACAACATGGATGAATCTTGAAGACATTATAAGTGAAATAAACCAGACACAAAATGACAAATATTGTATGATTCCACTTTATATGAGGTAACTAGAGTAGTCAAATTTATAGACAAACAAGTAGAATAGTAACTGGCAGGGGCTGGGGGTAGGGAGGAATGGGGGTCATGGCTTAATGGGTACAGTTTCAATTTCAGAAAAAGTTCTGGAGATGGATGGCAGCAAATGGTAATAAGGTGTTTGATGCCACTAAACTGTGTACCTAAAATTGGGTTAAAATGGTAAATTTTATGTTATGTATAATTTCCCACAGTTAAAAAATGGCAGCACAGTTCCTGCCTTAAACTCTAATAAAAAGCCTAACATGTAAGGCAGATAGAAGTGAAGTGGCTGTGCCTAAAGCAGGAAATGGAGGGCGGGAAGGGTCCACTCTGCTTGGCACCTCCTCACTGCCTCCTGGAACAAGGACCCCACAGAGCTTCAAGACGATCACAGGCGAGGTTCATGGCTCCATCCTAAAGTTCTTAGGTACTGGTTTCACTGTTCTTTTTTTCAAAAAGATTTATTTATTTACAAGGGGGGTGGGAGAGGGACAGAGGGAGAGGGAGAATCTTTTTTTTAAGATTTTTAAAAATTTGAGAGGGGGGGGGATGAGGGGTAGAGGGAGAAGCAGGCTCCCCACTGAGCAGGAAGCCCCACACGGGGCTTAAACCTAGGACCCTGGGATCATGACCTGAGCCGACGGCAGACGCTTTACCGACTGAGCCACCCAGGCGCCCTGGAGAAGGAGAATCTTAAGCAGGCTCTAACACTCAGTGGGGAGCCCGACTCGGGGCTTGATCGAACAACCCTGAAATCATGACCTGAGCTGAAACCAGGAGTCGGACACTTAACTGACTGAGCCACCCAGGTGCCCCTGGTTTCACTGTTCTTAAGGAAAGGAAGTTGAAAAGTTATTCCTGGCTCCATTTCTAGGAGGAACTTAGCAACAAGGAAAAATGACATCATCAACTGGCCTTGGGCCAAATGTCAATGCTGACTAATTTTTACAGAAATCACTTCATATCCCGGTGGCAGGGGAGAACTACCAGGGAAAAGAGCAACATGAAGTCACCAGCACCCATATCTAATTATCATCAATATCTCACATTTTCTGAGCCCTTTTCCATTAATAACTCAATCTTCAAAACAATTCTGTCAAATAGGCATGAAGGAAAATTGTGTGATCTCTCACTTTACAAATGGATAAACATACAAAATTCAGTGGACATTATCTACAGAGAATCCCTAAAGTGGGACTGACTTTAGGATAATAATTGCTCACATTTACCAAGGATTTATAAATTAAGACACTGGCTCAACATTTCCATGGACAATGGATTTCATACTTCCAACCAGTCTTTTCCTACCATACTTGGTAGTAGTAACTATTACTTCTTTTTCTAGGAAACTAAGGCTCAAAGAATAACCATCCTAAAATTGAATGGTTTGATAGATGATGGATGGTGATGGACTGCTCTGAAACCTACTACTCCAGAGTCTGTGCACTTAACCATTATTATTCTGTACTGCCCATCTGAGTCCTTGACTCCTGCTCTTTGGGAAAAGCCCAGTCAATGCTTCCTTCAGCCTTGAACACAAGTACAGCTGATGAGTCTCCATTCGTCACTGTGTTTCTAAGTTGAACTAGTATGAACAAAATATATCAGTACTCTTATTCCCTGCGCATAAATGCAATGAGATACTATTTCTTACACTAAGAAAAGATTCCTGGATCCTTTCCAATCCTATAAAAATGTATATACAAAAATATCCTCAAGATTATTAGAATAAAAAGTCACATTTGGATCATCTCATTCAATGTTTCTTTTCTGTAAGCTAAATAATCTGCTGGTGGACAGAGTACCAATTACTCCCTATACTTTTCTGAGTGCTTCTTCAGAACTTTCTGAGGATGTCTGCTTTCTTCTCCAGAAACTGAAGAGAGGAGAAACGCTTTGTGGCTTGTCAACAAGGCATTCAGTCTGCAGGGCTGCCCCACGGGATGCAAGGGCTTTGGGCCAACTGAAACAAGGATTAATTTGGAAGAGCATCAGGCAGAGGCTCCCACTAGACAACTCTAACAGACAGGCAAGCGGAAGAAGGGGGCAAAGTCATGGCAGGGCTGCAAGCCAATGGCTAGAGTTCCTTCCATCCCTCAGGAGAGGCTTCCGGAGACCGTCTCCTTCACAACCACCAAACAATATATATATTGTATCTCAACAGAATCTATATATGATGTGGGTGTTTTATTTACTCTAAGTGTTAAGAATCTAATCAACACCAGCTCTTCACACATGTGTTTGACTTTACACACAGCTTTGACTGTGTGATACTGTGAGTAGAGATGGGCCGCTCCACTAACTCTGGGGACACTGCTTTTTACTCTCCCATTACAGACCAGGATTCAGCTCTAGCACCTTGGGGGGCCAGGGTGCCCATATGCCTCTCACCTGAGAACTGGGGGTGAAGGAGGGTCTTACCGAGTTCTCCTTCAGTTGCAGCCCCTCCCCATTGGGAAGGGAGGACCGTCTCTTAGCCGAGTTCCTGTTCGGGGTTGAGGTAATGGCCCCTGCTTTCTTCTTCACAGTGAGGACCTCACAGCTGGCTTGGTCTTCATTATGTGTGCTCTTCCCAGCATTGATAACCCTGCAGAAGAAGCCAGGAGAGTGGTCAGACAGAAATTTCTGGAAGGCTCAGAGCTCAGACTCAAGGGTCAGCCTAGGCATTCTCCACAACTGGCACAAAACTAAAGCCCTACCTAGTGCACAGGACCCTGTGGTCTTGGTATTTTATGTTCCCGAGTAAACTAATTTTTCTAAAATGGAATTATATTAGCACACATTAAAACATTTCCTAAAGCACTATTTCAAGCCCGGCTCACCTTCCCAGGTGTCTGACAGCTGTGAGCAACCCCACCAATCCATTTTGGTCAAAACACAGGAGACAATCACTATTCTGGCAATTACCATGAAGACAGATGGGCAGGCTGGGGGGGAATTCTGCTGCATTTCTCCAAGTGATAAAGAGCAAAACCCACCATCAATCTTATCAAAGAATAAGGTAGTGCAGTAATTTACAGCACACTGTAAAATCCAAGAGAACAGAGACCCACATTTCACTACCGCCGTGCCCACTTTTACTTTACTCACAGAGAAGTGAGTGCATCAAAGGTATATTCTTTTTATCTTTAATCCTTCATTTTTTCTCCTATAGAATAAAATTCATCACATTGCACCATTACATTAGGCTATAGGGCACTCTGATTTGGACATGTGACCATACGGTATTATAACATGTTGATAATGCTTTGACCTAATTACTGTTTTAAGCATAGGAATGCATTAGAAGAACATGCCACATCATTCGTCTACCTTTTCTGTATCAGGTGACTGCAGGTGAACTCTTGGGTTTCAGCATCATTTTCTAATTAATTAATTAGCAGCTAAAATAGATTTCCCAAGAGAGCTCTCTTTAATTTGCCATTGGCTGTGTTTTCTTTTTTTGTTTGTTTTGTTTTGTTTTACCCTTTTTTAAATTTTATTTTATTATGTTATGTTAATCACCATACATCATTAGTTTTTGATGCAGTGTTCCATGATTCACTGTTTGCGTTTAACACCCAGTGCTCCATGCAGAATGTGCCCTCTTTAATACCCATCACCAGGCTAACCCATCCTCCCACCCTCCTCCCCTCTAGAACCCTCAGTTTGTTTTTCAGAGTCCATCGTCTCTCATGGTTCATCTTCCCCTCCGATTTCCCCCCCGCCTTTTCTTTTCAAAACTTCAACAGTGTTACAGTAGGTAATAGAAGGAATGTAGAGGGGTGGGGAACAGAACTCAGTGGCAAGGAAAGAAAAGATGCTTTTTTTTTTAAGGTGAGACAGCTGGAAATCTGGAATCCATTCTGTAAGTGTGATGTGTACACCACTCTATCAAGCTGATTGTAATCCTAAGTATAAGATAATCCTTTCCAAATAATTTTTTTTACTTTTGAATTCTGAAATAATTATAGACTCAGAGTAAACTGCAACACATTGCAGAGTTTCATGCACCTTCCCCCAACTGTATTATTTGACATCCCTATAGTAGAATATCACAACAAGCAACTGACACTGATGAAAAATTGTTAATCAGACTGCAGATCTTATCCAGATTTAACCATTTTTTTGTATCAAATGGCTCTCAGTATTGAAAACTGTGTAGATTTCCATAAGCCAATGAACACTCGCCACAACCAAACAGGAAACAGAGAGCAAACAGGGATCCGAGTGACCCAAGATCTAAGGGAGTATGTTTCGAGCATCCTTCTGCCAAACCTTGGGAGTGTATGGACATATTTCAGATGTTTTAACATTTACTTCATTTTTTTTTAAAAGATTTATTCATTTGAGAGAGAGTGAACGAGAGAGAGAGAGAGAGTGCGAGCACACATGAGCCCGGGGGGGAGCAGCAGAGGGAGAAGGAGAAGCAGACTCCCTGCTGAGCAGGGAGCCCTGGGAGGGGGGCAATCCCAGGACCTGGAGATCATGACCTGAACCTGAGCCGAAGGCAGACGCTTAACCGACTGAGCCACCCAGGTGCCCCTTAACATTTATTTTAAATTTATTTTTTAAATGTACATCATTTTGGAAAAAAATGCAATAATTTAGAAGTTCATTCCCATCTGTTACACATGAACACAGAAATGTCCATGGTCTATATATTCAGGCAGCTTTGGCATAATATGCCTTCTATCTTTTCTCTTTAATTGACTGGTATCACTTGATTGGAAGGTGAAATTTTTTAAAAAATTTATCATTTACAATTACTTATCTATATGTTATATGAAAAAGACCACACCTGTCATCTATTATCACCTTTATTTCAAATTTTTGGGTTAATCAAAACTGCTTCATAATCCTTAGTGGGTTTATTATAAATTTCAACCTAAGCATATGTTTATACACAAAAGCCTACTTTTACTCCTTTTACGTATTACACTTTGGTGTAAGATTTTTAAAAAGTTGATTGTTGCTTACAGAGTTTGAAACTCATTGTCCTAGGGGCCTGAGCAGAGAGGTGGGGATCCTTGTGACCTCTATGAGGTCAAATCTGCCTCTGGTGTTTATGACACACTCTTGCTAATGGAGGGTTGGGGCTGGGAGAGATCAAGGCCTAGTTTTCTGCCCCACCTTCACTCTCTCTCCTTCAAGGAGGAGATATTTTCATATGGTTTAAGTTAAAATGTAATTTCATATGGTTTAAGTTACCGTGTGGCTACCTGCATGAAGACTATTAATACTACCACACTTACCACCTGAGCTAAATAAATTAGTCCAGGTTTCACAGCAAGAAGTGGTGCAGCTAGGATGCAGAAAGACCCCCCCTACCCCCACCCAACCCAACCTCTTCCTATTACACGTGGGGACTTGCACTGTCTGTGGTGGGCCAAGCTGAACCGTGTGGGGAGGCACAGAATAAGCAGATTGGGGAGCTCAGTACCAGGCCTGAGAGAAATGGGAATAAGCTCCCTCTTCTGTAACGAGTGGAGAAAGGGCTCAGAGGGAGGATGAGGGATGGATGGTTCAGATCTGCCGGTCTTGAGTCCACGTTTCATCCAGCGGTTTGCGGCTCTCGCATCGACCCTTGGAGAACCAAACCAGGCAGACAACGGCGGTCTGAAATACCACCTGCCTCTTCTCAGTCACTGGTAGTGACTTCCCAAGCGACATGTGAGGGGTGGGCTGCTGGCCGGCTGGGGACAATACACCCCCCATGCCTCTCACAGGAACAGCTTCCCCACGGAAAGCGGAAGTGAGGTCTGGCTGGGAAAACCAATTGGTGACCACCGTCGCCTCCCTACTGTCCTCTGTACAACATCCTAGCTGCTATTTCTGGAACTTGGCATCACCCTGACCACTGGCACCTAAACTTGGGCTGTCGTCAGGTCTTTTTGTAACAAAAAAAGCATCACTGGTCTCCGATAGCTACACGGCAGGCTGACTCATCTGCTGTTGTCCACCGGTCAACAAAGCTACTGTAATTACATAACTGCTGAATCATGGTCACCTGAAAGGGCCTTACCTCCTCTCTCTCTCTCTCTCTCTCTCTCTCAGTGGATATTAAACTCCGAAGTTGACCTAACTTCAGCAAGAAACCTTAGAAACTTTCTTTTATGCACGAACAGCCTGGGGCCCTGGAGGACTCTGACGTGCATGAGGTCACGCAGCTAAATACGGCAGAGCCGTGGACATACTTCTGAGCTCCCAGTGATTTCTGCTTCAGCTCTCAGTTTTATTTTCCTATTGTGTATCTATTCTTATCGGCACTTGGTTCAGAGGGCTGTACTGCAATGACTCATCAAAGCCAGCGAACTGTGGCAGAACAATCACTGGTGGCCTTCCTTTGCCATTTCAGGTTGAATACAGCTTGTGAATGACACTAATGAAATATCAAAAAGTCAGAAATGTCGCCCTGATGGGGAGACAGCAGCCCCAACCCAGGAAGCCTGTTTGGTCAGATATCTGATTATTACTCTGATGTTAAAGTCACATTAATTTAAAGCCACTGCCTTTAAAAACACACACACACACACAATTCTTGTCCCATATTTTATATCCTTTCAAATTCCTTACTCCACACAGCTTTAGTAGAAAGACCTGGTTCTTCTTAGCTTACTTTGGCTTTAAAAAGCTCGGCCTCTATCAACTTAAATATTTTATTTTGTTCTTCAAAGGCAAATGATCTGCTTACAAAACGTAAATGAAACCTTTAATTCCTCTAAGAGTAAACTGAGAAACACTTTGTTTCCCTGAGCAGAGGAGCATCACGCTATTAATAGATTCAATAATTTTATTTAATCTAAGCAGCTGAATCAGTAACTACACTCACTCCTTGTCTTCTGCTCCAGCATGAAGTCAGCACTATCCTGAGATCAAGAGGAATGACTTTAAGATGTGCATTCTTTATCTTAGCATGATGCTTATTTTGAAGACTTAAAAACAAAATGCTGGTGGACCATAAACTGTCCTATCTTTAGTGACTTATTTTCCAATTGCCTACAAAGAGGGCAACGATCTTCCTTGGAATTGAACTGGAGGCAATAAAGCATAGCAATTAAGAACATGGGCTCTCTCCCCAGAACACAGCACACAGCAGGTGCTCAACAAATTTTGCTGAATGAGGGAACGAAAAACAGAAATCAACTCTGCTACTTCCAGAGATGTGGAGTAATAATAGTATCTCACATCTGTTGAGAATGAACTATGTGCCAGGGACTGTTGTTAGCATTTTACATGTAGTAATTAACTCATTCAAGCCTCCTGTCAGCGCTGTGAGTTAGCCACCACCGTTGTTCTTTTTAAAGGTTAAATCACAGCTAGTGGATGGCCAAGTGTTCAGCCAACCTACATAACTTCTACAAACCTAAGTTCTTGAGCAGTACTTAGTGGATTAAATTCTAGGAGTTGCCAAGTTATATGTGTGTTGGTGAGGGGGGATTTCTGGTCATCTATAAAGAATTGGAAAAATTTTAAGTTAGGATTAAAATTCAGGTGGGAGAATTGTTGGAGGACGAATGGGAATAATGGCTACTGTCCCCTCAATATGAAGAGTTTACATCCAATTCTTTCATCTCTTAGAAAACCACGGCATATTTGCCTCAAGAGAGAGACGCGTGATTAGTTAAATTCATTTTAGGACTTTGTCTACCTTCATTTGTACCAAAACACCTAGATTTCTCCCCCTTGTAAAAACAGGTACACACAGAATTTGAAGGACTTGGAAGTCAGAAATCCTATGTGTGTATCAGACACAGCTTGAAGCTATGACCTGAGTACCAGGCATGAACGTGACCATGAGACCACGGCAATAGCAGAACCTATTTAAAAAGAGCAAATGATTCATTCTGTACCACCGTCATATGCTTAAGAAACTTGTTTTCCTTCTTTCTGTTTGTGAAATACTCCACGTCACAAATTTTTAAAAACTCAATTGATTTTCAGCAGTAAAGTCCTGGTTTTAATTGCAGCTGTTAAATTATCAAGTTATCTGTCTTATCATCTGCTCAAAATCTTGACAAGGACACTTATCAGATAATATGACACAGAGAACAGGTCCCTATTACTAAATTCAGACAAATACTCCAAGTATACTCAAGTCGTGAGCCCTGTCACGAAGGACACAGGCCCAGAGAACAAGCAATGGAACCATTTTCAAAAGGATTTACAAATTCAATCAACAGAGGAGAGTCCCAGCTGACATCTTCTTTGAAGGATTCACTTACTGTGCTAGTACGGGACGGCTGTCAACTCCTTCCTCACCAACGTCCTCCCTGCCCATACACTCCTGAGACGTCACAACAGGGACAATGGTTAGAAAGACCGAGTCCAAACCTGGTCCCCCCTAATTACTGGTCCTAGCTGTGTGTTCTTGGGCAAGTTACTTTCTCTCTTTAAAATGGGGATAGTAGTCCTCTCTGATCATAGCAGAGCATGAGAATTAAGTGCCCCAGCATGGAAAGTATTTAACAGTGTCTGGTACCCAGTGAGCACTCAGGATATATTATTAATATTAGATCCAAGACAAAGCTAGCTCTTTCTTCTGTTGGGCCCAAGGGACTTGATGCAGTTGTGAAAATCTGAGGAGATGCTTCCCCTTCTTCCCCTTCAGCATCCCTCTGCCTGCCTCAAGGACACATGGCCACCTCCACCCATCCAGAGCCTTCAAGTGGCATCGCATGACACCCCCAGAACAGGGACCTTGAGCAAGGACATCTGCTCCTTGGAGCCCTCTTCTCAAAATTATTGCCACAATGAAGCCACATGCAAGAGTGTTCTGTACACAGGGAAGGACTCACAGGGTCATGACTGTGCTACGTCTAGATTCCCATCTAGACCTGCCCACAGATGCCATTTCTGGATCCCCAGGCTCCTGGATTCAAAAGCTCAGGTCGCAGAGCCCACAGAAGATGACCAAATACAGAATTCGGCTTGGTTGTTTTGGTTATTATTATATTGCTTTGTTTTTAAAAGAAATAAAGGCCTGAACAGTTTAGGCTAAACAGTTCACACTAGTGTTACTACTGCTAAGGAGAGTAATTACACTGGCTAAGAAGGAAGAAGTAGTTTATAAAGGCCATCAGGTGAAGTGAGATATTGCTGATTCATATATAATTGAGAAGCAGACAGCAAAAAGGCTGTAGGGGGAGGGAATGGAAATAATTCATTTATGGAAGACCAAATACAACTATTGATTATTAAAATTCTTTCTTTTTTTTAAGTTTTTATTTATTTATTTGACAGAGATAGAGAGAGAGCACAGGCAGGGGGAGCGGCAGGCAGAGGGAGAAGCAGGCTCCCCACTGAGCAGGGAGCCTGATGTGGGGCTCGATCCCAGGACCCTGGGATCATGACCTGAGCCGAAAGCAGACGCTTAACCGACTGAGCCACCCAGGCGCCC